GGGGGAGGGTCGTGGGGCCCCGGGCGGCCTTTATAGCGGGGCTGGATCTGAACCCCAGTGCCTCTGTCCTGCAGGCTTTGCGCTGCAAATCCAGTGTTACCAGTGTGAGGAATTCCAGCTGAACAACGACTGCTCGTCCCCGGAGTTCATCGTGAATTGCACAGTGAACGTTCAGGACATGTGTCAGAAAGAAGTGATGGAGCAGAGTGCAGGTAAGAGCCTGGCAGCCCTCTCCTCCCGCCGCCAGCCCGGCCGCTGTCAGTGAGGGAGCCATTAAATTACAGGAAAAGGGACCCTGACTTTGATTTAATGCATGCACACTGGTTCTCACAGATTTACTTTTACAGTGCTGGGAAAAGGAAGAGTTTCTAGTTACTTTAATCTCATTAGACTTAATTACCAGGGCTTCTCCTCCAGGGACTAGGGCGGGGAAGTGCATTTAATGAGTGGCTCTCCTCTTTTTATTTACTCCCCTCACCTCCCTCTGCTAAAAAGCTGATCAGGAGGTTGGGAAATATATGGATAACCGCCTCTGCCTGGACAACTAGACAGTACCCTGTGAGCAATGTCAGCCTGAAATATGAAGCTAGTTGAAGTCCCCAGAGGTCAGAGCTTGAAAAATGTGTTATGTCATAGAGCCACGCCGTATTTCTTTGAAGAACGCTACAGGATCTTTATTTAATTTTAGAGCTAATGCATCACATTTCAGGCACAAATTGCCAAGATCTTTCAAAGGAGTGTGGTTCCCAGACCCACAAGCTTGGTGGCTGGCTGGCTGGCTGATGAGAGGGCCTGGGCATAATGCAAGGGTAGAAACCTCCCCACTTGCTTCAGGTGACCAGAGTTTTCTCATGGACATGGAACTCACTCCCCAGCTCCTCCCAGCAGTCTTATCAGAAATCAAAGCCCTAAGAGTGCAGCTGGAACTTTGGGGAAATGGGTGGAACTGTAGCTTCAATTCCAAGGTCAAACCCTTAAGCAAAATTTGCCATTTTCAGAATATTGGAAAAATGAGAAATAGTATCTATTGGGGGAAGAGCCCCGAACGTCTCCATTCAGAATCAGTTCTGAAGAACTGACAGGGACCTTATTCAGATAATTAAGAGCCTTAATAGGAGAAACTTACACACATGGGCAAGACAGCTGCTGCCAGTGGTGGCCAGGAGGGAAAAATCCGCACCCTCCCAAGATAGGGTCTCCTTTTTATAGGGGGTTAACAGTAAAACCATATAGTGGTTAGTCACGTAGTTCACCAGAAAGTTAACATAACGTCAGGCAGTTATCACACTCTGTACATTCATTGACCTCCTTCCTGGGGCCTGACTTTTATCTTTGGGTGGGCATTCCAGTTTCCTGAGTACTCAGCCAAGCCTGAGGCTACAGAGAGTTAAACAGGGTCTAACTCTGACCCTGACGCCCTTGCTGCTGAAGCCATCGTGCATCTAAAGTGAGTCCCCTACAGCATCATATGCTAAATGCTACTGAATGAACCAAAGCCTTGCTCCTCTTCAGTTTGCTGAACTGCACTGCCCACAGAGCCTGGTGAAGGTGTCCACTGTCAAATGACCTCCTTTTTTAAAATGAATTTATAGGGGAAGGGGAAGACATTAGTTAATAAAATTATACAGGTTCCAGGTATACAATTCTACAATACATAATCTGTATATTGTATTGTGTGTTTACCACCCAAAGTCAAATCTCCTTCCATCACCATTTATCCCCGCTTTCCCTTGTTCTACCTCCCACCCCTCTTCCCTCTGGCAATCATCAGTTAAATGACCTCCTTAACCCACTGGCAAGTTAAAGCAGGGGCTAGAGTTTTAAAGCCAGATCCTTGGGAAAGTAGTTCCTTCCCTGGAAGGGCCTGGAAATGCCATGTTGCTAACTACACAGTTACTTGGGGAGCAGATGGCTCCTCACTGTGCTATGATGTGGTGTGTGTGTGGTTTTAAAGACTGTTCTCTGGAGGTCCTTGTTGGCCTGGGTGTGGGTTCTTGCCCCAAAAATCTCTCTTCTGGGAAATCTAAAATGTAATTGTTCTCAAGGGTAACCTGTCCCAGGATAAGCAGCATGCATCGCTTTGTCATATGGGATTCCGGCTATTGAAAAAGTAAAACAAAACAAGCTTCATGATGATCCTTTAGTCGAGATTGATAGAGATGATTTTGACAGCTGTTTCTTTAACACATGTTTCATTCCTGAGAGCTGTACTTGAGCAAAAGTGTACTGCCCATCTGCCAAAGGGGCTGCTGTGATTTGAGCCAGGATCACTGCGAACACTTTGGTACTTTCAGATATTTGCTGCTTTCTTCCAGGCAGTAGATTAAAGCCAGAAAAAGGGGGGCTGTACTGTGGACACATGAGGAACTTCAGAATCCTCGAGACCCCTGCCTACCTGGGTACCATGATTATAACCTGGGATGTGGTGAGATAAGGAGAGAGAAAGAAATGAACCAAGTTATAGCCAGAAAAGGTGTCCTTTTTCTGAGAGACGTTTCTTCCTCTCTAAAAGTATACCCGAGATGAGTACCACACATCTGCTGTGTTCATCGGCCTCATTGTCTTCTCCAAACCACCCTGTAGAAAGGGCGGAGCGGGCACATAACACCCACTTATCCCTGGAAAACTTCAGCGCAGAGGGTTTAAGTGCCTGGCCTGAAGTTGCTGTTAGGTCAGTCACGGTGAGCGTGAGCACCTTGTCCCCAAACCAGGTTCCTCGGCCACGTTTCCCAGGCTGCTGGGGGCGGGCGGAGGCTGGAGTGAGAAGGTGGGCTCGCTTCTGAAGGCTGGGACACAAACAGCTGAGGGGCGCAAAGGAAAGACCAGTTAGGAGGGCAAGGGTGGAAGTGCTGTGCACATGGAAACGGCATTTCAGAGCCGGAATGCAAAAGAAAGCAGCCAAATACATGTTCCTGAGTCAAATGAACGACAGTCGGGCCGCTGATACTTCAAAGCGCTTCCCTTTGCATCTTCATGTAGTTGTTAGAGGTCAGTCAGTTAAGTGACTCTTCACTCTCTTGTTGGCAGCGACAGAGAACCAACCTAAAACTGATTAAGCGACCACAGTGGGGCAAGAGCACCACAGCAGTAAGAGCTGGCTTCCCGTGTGCCCTGAGCCTGCGGCTCTTCCTCCAGGCTTTGTGCTTCCTGGGGAGTACCTCGCGCCGTCTGGTAGTCCTCTTTCGAGTCCCTTGGTTCCCCGAGGCCACAACCCACAGGTGTTCAATTCTACTGCAGGGTCAACTTCTCCACTCTGGTGAAAGAAAGAAACTCCTGTTAAATGACAGTATTAGGAATCAAAGTCAGAATTTTTGTTTGTTTGCTTGATCAGTAACATACATTTTTCTGAGAATCTTTGTGCGTTAGAGCTGAATGGGCCCAGTGGCTCACAGTTAAGGGTGCACGTAGGAATCTTCCTGGGGCTTCTGTTCAAACCCACATGCCTGGGCCCTCCCCTCTCCTCCCCTCTCCTCCTCCAAGAAGCCAGTCCCCTAAGTCTGTGGTATACCTGACAACGGGTCTTCTGTAAGCTCCCCAAGTGACTCTGGGGTGCCCCTAAGTCGTGAAATGCTGATCTGGAGCATCTTTTAAGTGTTATAGAGGAGGGAAACCGGGCCAGAAAAGTTAGCTGTCTGATCTAAGTCCACCAGCCAGCTGTTACTAAAGGGCACCTGCTTCCTGGGCCAGCGCCTTATATAGTAAAATATGCTGCCAGGTTTGCCTGAAAAGATAATCCAGGCCCAGTGCTAAAGACTCAGACAGCTCTCACATCTGCCAGGTTCACCTGAGCACACTTAGCGAACAAGCTGAGTGGACAGGCCACAAAGTGGATACTGAAAAAATGTGAGAGCCCACCAAAGGAGTTTTAGTTTGAGTGTTATGTGGAGTGGCATTTTTCATAAGTACTACAGGAAAACGAGAGTTTTAAGTGGACTAAGAGATTTTAATGAACCAAGCAGGTTTGACATTAAACAGTAATGAAAGACATTCTCTTTCCAAAAAATACCAGCAGTGCAGTATGCCCAGCCAGGCCTTCAGTTAGTCCTTTCTGGATTAAGTCTGCAAACTCAGCTCTTTGAGTTTTGAGGCAGGTACATTTAATTTTCAGTTGAGAAGTACATTTAAAATTAACCTTTACCTGTTCCCCAGAGTGGTGTTCCTATTAGGTGCTGAGATATTACTTTCCATTGCTCTCTATCCCCTTGGCCATTTCTGGAGCAATAAGGCACAGCTGTGAGGAAGGAACCTTTTGGTTCTGCCCTTCCATTGGCCTTATTAACTGGTATCTAAGTGTTTGTATAAGGAATGGCTTATTCTCACTTAATGAGTTAGCCACTACTTTCCAGCACCCTTGATAGTGACATTTCCTTTGCTCTTGCTTTACACTGCACTCTGAAAAAAATGTTTGAAATACTGATTTTCATTGCAGAATAGAAAGCCCCCCACTNTTTCCTTTGCTCTTGCTTTACACTGCACTCTGAAAAAAATGTTTGAAATATTGATTTTCATTGCAGAATAGAAGCCCCCCACCCATTTGAATTGTTACAACCAGGGTGTAAAGAATGTGAATTTGCATTTGTTTGACAGCGCAATCTTGTAATTAGAGTTTTTCCTCTTGACTAGATACAGTGAAAGGGGCATAATTTAATTTTTATAGACTAACCAATTTCTGTCCTTAGTAAAATATAGCTCTGTCAGTGAGCAAAATGTTACAGGTTCTCCTAAACCTTATTTAAAAGTTAAATGCAGTATATTGAGAGAAAGTTCATGGTCTGAATCAGTAACCTAATCGATCTCTTCACTCATCCTCTGCAACATGCATTAATCTATTTGTCTGTTTTGCAATATAGGGCTTAACTGATTTATATGCCATGTTGCATCTGCATTATGGCTATATAAGCAATGGCGATTTTCCTTGATTACTTAGTTGCTCATTAAGTTGGACAGGGATAGCTCCATGCCTCGGATAGGTTGGTTTTATGCCTTATTGTCTCATGAGCTAAATAAGGGATGGCAAGCGAGGACCTTTTGTCACTAAAATAATCAGTCATCCACTCTTAGTGGAAAGTAATGGAAAGATAACAGTGGCCTATGTTTTCTTAAGTCTGTGCTCTGCTAATTTCACCAAATTTTAAATATTAGGCTCTAGTTTGTCATTGGGGTGGGCTTGGCAGGAGGAAGGGTCAATATTCATTCTGCTAATGAATATTGT